CAAACACAGAGGATATAATCATAAATTATTGTTTTAAACCAATATGTTTTGGGGGAGGTTTGTTATTCTGTAATGATTAAGTGGGACAACATCAAAACCAGAGTCTGGTCATTGGATCCAGGTATATAAATTATTCTTGTTTTAATAACAATTTTTTATCCTCCCTGGTCTAAAATGGTGACAATTCATTACCAAACAAGCCCCAGGCTCTGCCCACATAAATTGGAAAAATCTTGCAATTGTTTGAATAATAGAAAATTTTGGGGGGCAAATTTTTTGGTTCTTCAAATAGTACTTGGATTACAATTTTTTAGTGCACCTGGCTGGGGGGCTCAGTTGGTTGGAACATCAACCTGTACACCAAACGGCTGCAGGCTCAGCTCCCAGTCAGGGCATATATAGGAGGCAACCAATTGATGTTTCTCTCTTTGCTCTCTCTCTCTCTCTCTCTCGTCAAAATCAATAAAAATACATCCTCAGGTGAGGGTTAAAAGAAATTTTAAGTGCTGGCCTTGTCATTTTCTTTATTTTCCCCAGTGCATCTTACACACAACCAGGCACAGTGTCAATATAAATTAAAAATTCTTAGCATAAAAGAAGAATTAAGACTTTTCACCTGATTTTCCTTAAAATACAAAGTTCATTCATTTTTATTCATCAAATCACCAATTATAGCACTAGAGAGATGCCTAAAGTCTTAGTTTAGCTGTCTGAAATTGGGGAAGGATTTTGCTTCAGAGTTTCTAACATATCCTAAGCACTACATCATAAGAATATGGTTCCACAGTCTTCTCAGATATTTCTTGAGCTTGTCAGTCACTCCTTGTATCAGAGAAATGTTTATCCACTTTGACACCCTGTACTCTCCCACAATATTCTCACACCCCTCTTGGTGATAACCACACACTCTTCCCCTCCCCCTCTTTTCCCCTTATAAAGCAAGAAGCAAATCTTGTTATGTTTTCAGGAGTTTTGATGACCAAGTGTTCGGGAAGGGTGAGAACCCATGTTGTCAGTGAGCTCTGGGAACCACAGAGTCACTTAGGTGGAGGGATCTCCTTGACAACGGGGAGTCTGGTCACATCCTTCTCTAAGTGACAGTCACTGAGGTCAGGGACACATCTCTCCACACCCGGACCATCTTCACAGATGCTGGGTCAAGTCGATGTGGAAAAGTGTAACATTGGCAGCCATTCACTATTACCTGGAAGAGAGTATATGTCAGAAATATAGCATGCCACCAAACAAACCTGTCGTCTTCCTTTCCTTTCCTATACACACACTATCCACCAGAAACTCCTAGTCACACTCAAAACCCAGCAGACATGCTTCTTTTTATAACCTACCTTTTGTGACAATTTCAGACAGTTATTCACCCTATTTTCTGTGTTTCTCTCATTCTTCCACAGATGTTAGCACATTATGTAGCCCTGTCTATGTCTGCCTGGGCTTTCCTCTGGCCAGGAACTGTTTCATGAATCGTGAGTCTGGGTCTTGCACAGAATATCATAGGCTAATTCAGTGGTTCTCAACCTTGGCTGCACATTAGAATCACCTGGGAATCTTTTTAAAATCCTGATTTCTGGGCCTCATCCTCCAGAAATTGTGTTTCTTTGTTACTAATGTTGTGGCCCCACCCCATAACAAAGAAACAGAATTTCCGGAGGATGAGGCCCAGAAATCAGGATTTTAAAAAGATTCCCAGGTGATTCTAATGTGCAGCCAAGGTTGAGAAGGACTGAG